AGTACTGTTTACAAACACTATACAAAATCTTTTATTTAGAGAATGAAAGGGAATCAAACAGCGGTCGTCTTTATGCTTCTCTTGAAACGTCTGTGGAAATGTCTCATCTCAGTGCTTCTTCGCCAGGTTTCTTTCCCATGTGCATCTTTATCTGAGCAGTAACAAGTGCCTCTGTTCCTGAAATTCATTAAACAATTGGAAACGGTTATGCTGATCAGCTTTACTGATGTTTTGTTAATGTCGATTGTATATAGGTGTTCCATTCCGCAAAATAACCCCTGGAGCCGAGAGAGTGAATCCTCAGCTTCAAAGTGAATCTGTAATTATCCCTTGTAGTTTTTAGGAAGGTGAATTTCCATTGATACAGCGTCTTCCTTTGCCTCAGACTCTTCTAATTGTCTGCCTCTGCAGAGGGAAATTAAAAATAAATGAGTTATTCAAGGAAGGCTCTTGTTTCTGAGTTTGAGCTTTCAAATGTCACAGCGGAGAATCTTTTTTCCCCTCTGAGGAATCTAATAGTCTGTGAGTGGGCTTTTTTTGATAATTGTGCTATTTTGGGCGTTCATCATATTCTCTGTAATTGAAGCAGATGTTGAAACTTCTCTAGAGGAGAAGACTTCTGAGTCTGTGTAGTAGCATATCAGTCTTGCATCCCCAAAGGTTTCAGGTTAATGTAAAAATGAAATAGTAAGGCAGATGTTGTATGTAATACTGCTGTAGGTGGATAGTCCCTGTTGATCCAAAACACTTAAAAATGTGCAACTCACAGCTGCATACTAGGGGTAGCAAATGTTTGGATGATAAATTGTTTTAGGATTTTTTTGACAGCCAGTCACAGTCCAGCTCTATGTATGCTGAGTGATTTTTGCTATTAGAATATTGTTGCAATGATAAAAGCAGTTCTTAAGTTGAAGGGACTACTTCACTATTTGTGAGTAACTTATGGAGATGTTTTGGGGTGAAAAACCCTGAGCATGTTTCAACTTAGCTGCTGTACTGGTTTCTCATTCTGATATAATGATGTATCACTAAAGAATACGTATAACTAAAGTTTTGTTTAGCTAAGAATTTTTGAACAAGCTAGTAAGCAGCTGCTCACAAATTCTAGGAGGGCACTAGTGATATTTGATTTGCCTAAGTATTTGTTAAAATCAGTTCAAAAATATTTATTCAGTGTTCAGTTTTATAAAATGAACATGTGAAATGAAAACTAATGGAAAACAGTGAAAATCAAATACTTTTTGCTTTTGTGCGTTACTATGAATCTGTGGCTTAAACTTATGTGAAGCACTTTCACCTGATTTCACCTAGTGTGTTCTCAAAATTGGAAAGTGTTTTAAAAATCCAGCCTTCATTGTTCAGACTTCAAACTTAACCATGGCAGCCTGTCTGGAGGGACACTTGAAATGAAAACTGGTCTAAAGGGCCATGTGTAAACCAGTTGTGCAGGAGCACTGACAAGAGTTGGGCAGCACTGCTGTTGTGCACTGCTTCTTTGCTAGGGGAAGATGCTAATGAGTGCCTGGTTCTTCTCTTTCCTTACACTCTGGTTTCCCGGGAAAGAAGCCCTACTGCATATCATGACCTAGACCTTACAGGAGAGATTTATAGTCTGTGTAAACTAGAGTTTGTTCCAGTTTGATGTGGAGTAGTGTAAATTGCACAAGATTCCAGAAGGATGTAGCACTGAGCAAAATAGTGTAAACGATCAAAGTATCCAGAAATGAAAACCGTGGGTACAGAGGAAGAAGACTGAGACCAGAATGAAGGGACTACTAATATATATATTTTTTATACTTACTGGCTAGAGAAGCTCAAGAAATGGGGGCTTTTCCAGTCATTGTCATCAGGAACAAGGAAGCAGTGCGTATACTTTGATTGAGTTTTACAAAGGAGTCTTTTAGCAGAAATTCTGCTTAAGGAATGCATTTTGTTTACACTTAAGCAGAAGTGAAATGATGAAACTAGTTTTCCCAAGTGCATTTTTCTATTATGCAATCTAGCAATGTCAAAAAAGAGGGAAGAAATGCTTCCTTCATGCAGACAATGGAGATATTTAGCTGAGAGACTGAAAGTTATGATTTCTTCCAAACAGTGGAATTTTCACTGCAAAATTCTTGCTGTTTCTGGAGGGTTTGACTGTGAAACTCTGCATCCATTCCTAAAGCCATGTCCCACCACTCATGGCAGCAGAAGTTGTGTGCATATGACGTCTGATCTCTCTATGGACCGCAATGTTCAGATCCCTAAGAGTTCTTACTGAGGTTGTGCTGTCTGAATGTCACTTAAAGGAAGCCACGTGCAAGGGTGTTGTATGCGATTTCCCCCTGCAGTGAAAGGATGTTCATTATGGTATTGGCTTCTCTTCAAGTATTAATTTTGATCAAAGAGTTCTGGTTGCATCAACACTGTACTTTGGAGCTGGTTTGTTTCCTGTTTCATCTCTTAGGGCAATGGAGCTTTTCCAAAATAGACTTCCAAAAAGTCTTCAAGTTGTTCTTTATATATTGCGCAGTAATTGGATTTATCTGTTTGTTAGACTTGTTTTACTTAATTTATATATGTCAGTATGTTATGTTTGTCATTTAAATAACTGTTCTCAGGAAAAGAGGCCAGAACTGGAACGAAGGGTCACAAAATTTTATCCTGCTTTTGGTAGCTCTGATAGTCTTGAATTCATAGGACTGAAAGTTTCACTTCAGCTGTTCTACTACTGACTGGGGGGGGAGGGGGTAGCAGAAGGTTAGTTGGAGCCAGTCTGGCTGTGCTTCACTTTGAAAGGAACCAGTTATGTGCTTTCAAGTGCTAATTTAGGAGGATGAACACTAGAATCAAGTGCAAAGAAAAAGTCTGTTAGCGACGATGTGTCTTCTGTTTCTGACTTTCAGAACCAAACTCTCTACTATTAAAACATTTGCATTGTTTGAACACAAAAATTATTTGAATTAATAAGTTAATTTCAAGGCCACAAAAAGTTATATATTCTGATAACATGAAATGGTTTTGTCTCAGAATATCTTCAGTTTTCCTTCTCTTCCAGATGTAACCTTCTGATGTATAGTAATATGTGAAAAAAAGAACATTTTCTTGGAATATGTCTGCAAAAGCTGCAATAGAGCTGTAAAAACAGGCTGGATTGCTTTTAGGTAGTCTGTGATATAGGTTACCTAACTTCAAGATTAAAACTAAAAAAGTAGGTCACACTAACAGAATAGGAGTGATGTTTCTCTGTAGCTCAATGATTTATTGGGTAGCACCAAGCCCACAGTACTTTGCCCTGATTGTCTGAGGTGCACAGAAATATCAGCTAACAAAAAATAGGTTTTTTCGCATGAATCTTGCCAGGCAGGATTTCTAGCATACTTTGCTTGAGATACTTTGCCTTGCTCAGCATTCTTGGCATTACTCACAACTCTGAAGGCACTAGGACCTACTTTTCAGGGAATTCTTAGCTACCAGATCCATATGACTTACCTTGGCAAACGCTTGTCTGTACAAAAAAGGGAGATTCTATCTGAAAATGCTGGGACAACTTCATTGGCGGCACTGAATATCTTCACATTTTGTGCTGCTAGTCGTGCAAAATCAGTAAGAAAAATAATCCCTCCCATGTTTGTTTGGTTCACCTACCCCTTACATGAGGATGTGTCATGCATTCAGAGCATTGCTCTTACATATGCATGAGATTTTTGTAGAGATTTCAAAATATTTTTTAGTAGAATGCTGGTCAAATTTTGTTTCGGAAGAATTGATTTTCAGATGTTTTCACACATTCTTTGAACATGCTTAAAAAACATTTGCACAGTGCATTATACATATACTCTTCATTCTGCACTGCTTTATGATTCAAACCACCAGAATGAGAATCTTCATTACTCCTAAGCAGCTATGTATCTCTTTTTTTCTTTCTTCAGCACAGATGCAGTAAGTTGTCTTCTTTACCAATTGTTTTTATTGTTAGCAGTTTTTTAACCACATTTTTCATAAGTTAAGCTTGATGCAGAAAATTGGAGTCTGGAAAGGGAGAGCTTTTTTGTTTGCTAGGTTTGGGTTGTTTTTTTTGTTTTTTTTGTTTTTTTTTAAATATTTTATATCGTGGCACAAAGATACATCTAAGGGATTTGAAAGTGCTTCCAGAGTCTCTTTGCTCTGTTCCTCTGAGGCAAAGAGTTTGGCCTTATGTGAACAGCAATTACTTATCATTGGCTGTATCAGAAAACACCAGAGTTAAAGGGGAGCACAAGATGTTGACTGACAATAACTCTAACCTTGCACAAATGAGAATTAAGCAAATATAAATGAATAAAAGTATGGTGCTTCATCTATTGGAGAGAGACATTTCTGACAACCTGTAGTGCAGTTTTAGTGGTCCATTTAACTTTAATAAACTTCTTGACAGCCAGCCATAGCAGCCACTACTGGAGTTAGAAATATTACAGATATGTTCAAAGTACTTCAGTTAATTACTGTATGGGAACTGTTGAGTCATGGCCTGAACCACTGATTCATCACCTGAGGAAAGGGCTGAGTCAGCCCTGGGAGCACAGGTGAAGGCAATTCAGCTGTGTGACCAGAAGGAATGGAGCCTGGCTCCACCCCTCCTAGACCCCATTTAAGGACTGAGCCCCACTGAGGAAGGGTCTCTTTCTGAGATCCTTCCTCTGTGGAGTCTTTCATGTGAACATAGATCTTCAGGTACAGATGAGCATTCCTTCCCTGTTTGTTTCTTTTCCTGTTTTCACCACGATAATCTTTTCAGCTGTAACACCAACTGTAGCAATTACATAGTTTAAAAAAAAAAAAAAAAAGAAAAACTAAATTCATAGTTTTCTCACAATATTTAGCAGAGTAGCTTCATTTGCTAGAGTTAAGGCTCAATAGTTCCACTGGATAAATGGAGTGTTTTGCTGACTAGTGGCATATTATAAATATTGTTTTGTGATAATGGAAACCATACATATGTGTATGTATTTATTTGTGGTTTTGTTTTGTTTTCACAGACAGTTCCACTGGGGCTGGGAGATGGGCAGTTGTTCACCTGGACTGATGGACTGAAAAGGAAGGATTGGCATGATTATGAAAGTATTCAAAAAGATGCTATGCGTTCAGGTATGCTTTAGTTCAGAGCAAGTTTAAGAGTTTTATTTGTTTATTTTTCCTCATATGGTCATTCATTCTTTTAAGTCAGCTAAGAAGAATCGTAACAGTCTGTATTTGAATACAGCATGTCACAAGGACATAATCTGAACTGAGGGGTCAGAACAAAGATAAATACCATCTCTCTGAAAATAACTAAGTGAACATAGAAATAGTGTGTTGAATGCTGATAGCTATATAATTACGCTAAGAAATAGGCAAAAATTTAATCACAATATTTTTCATGTTGAAATCATTTGTGGTACTGTATCCAAATATAAACAAAAGCATTGGTTTCCAAACATAGGACACAGCTGAAGCAAAATTGTCTTTCAGTCAGTGGATAAAATCTGAGCCAAGTACTTATAACTGTAAGGAATATCCGAGTTATATTAGGAATAACAATACAAATGACCCTATTGCCATTGTTGAAATCTAGCCTCTTAGTGTTACTTATGCTATAGCTGCTTCATTCTGACAGTCTAAAATGATGTGGCAATGGAAGCAAATTGTATTTGCAGATGAATTGAAGGACACTTTGTTATTCAGTAACATAATTTTAATGTACCTTTGTGTGTTGTAGGCCATATATGCAAGGGTTTATTTTCCTCTTTCTGTCACAGGAACGCATTCAGATTTGAGTCTTTCTTTTCTAATACAATTTATAGCTATTCAGCATAAGATGAATTTATTTAAAGGGACAGAAGGGAAACTGTCGTTAAATTCCACCATAATCAGTGTTTCAAAGTCATTATTTTACAACAGCTAATTACTATCATAAAATAAATCATTTTGTCTTGATCCAACTGTCAAATGACAATCAACACCTCTCTCAAAATACCTCTATAACTGAATCCATATGACACTCATAATCATCTTTTTGGGTCAGCTGTCAGTTGAATCTCCTCTGAACTTCTTGCCCAGACTAACCAACTTGCTGGAAAAAGCCCTGAGGTCGTGCAAGTACATAGTCAAAACATTAATGTGTTCTCAATGCTGTTGTTGTCAGAGATTCAAAACACAGCAGACAGGCTGCTGTGAAGAAAGTTACCCCCATCATAGCCAGACTCAGTATGCAAGTAGAATATGTATGTATGTATGTATGTAATATGTATGTATGTATGTAGAAGTCCTTAGAGAAATCTTTGTTGCAGATGGAATGGAGCTTAGCTCTCCACTCTTTGTCCAGACTCTGGATAAATTATCCTGCTTTTCTAGCTGTATCTGAATACTTGCAAGTTACTGGAAGAGGGTGGTTTGGCCTGTAATTAAGGCAGCAGTCTGAAAGTCCATAAATTTAACTTGAATTTCCAGTTTTCTCACAGGTATTTAATTTTCTCGGAGTCTTGATTTCTTGTCTTGAAAAGAGATAATGCTTTCTAGCTCTATTAAGAATGTTGTAAAGTATTGTTTCTTACCAATGGCAAAAATACAAAGCAATCTTGGGAGACATAATTCTTCTAAAGCTAATTTGTTCACTAGCCATGTTTTTTCTGTACCTAGTAAAAATCTCTAAATTAGCATGTGATATGGGGCTGAACTGCTATCAGTTTTGACCATCACAGCAAGGTCTAGTAGGCTACACACAGTTTTCTCTGAAATTCTGCTATGGTCTTACTGATGGGGTTGCATAGATTCACAAAATGGCTATCGGCTTCTGCACCTGTACCCAACTGTGCCATGGCCCTTCCATGGAGTAGCTTTGTGTCATTCTCCTCTTAACCATCACTTCCCAGGAGCAGAGCCCCAGAGCCTGTCATCTCCCTCTGCTTCCTCTCCTTAGGAATCTGCGGTGACCATTGAGGTTACCTCTTGGCCTCCGCTTCCCCAGGGCAACCCAAACATCCTGAGCCTTTCCTTGTAGGACTTGCCTTTTCTTGCTTTTCTCAGATACTTAGATAAATGGCTTTTGACACAGATAAATTGTTCATCCTATACCCACTGTTGTTGTAGATTAACCCTATATGAAAAATCTAATTTTGTCTGGAATCTTGGTAATTCCTTGACTGCTGTGACTTTTGTAGAATGATTTTAAGAAGTTAATTAAATATTTTGTGTGCTATCATATTTAGTCTTTTTTTTTTTTTTCTGAGTTGGAAAAGTGCTGGAAGTACTTCTCTATTACAGACTATTTTGTTGTTTTATTTGGAGCTTGTTTTTAATAATGTTTCAATAATTTCAATCTTTCCAAGCAGATATAAAACTTTAAAGGAAGTTCTAAGAATCTTTGTTGGTTTTGATATGTGAGTGCAACAAATCAGTAGAGGAAACGTGATAGAAACTTGCAGAAGCAGCTAATTGCTATACTGTTGTTAGAAAAGGAAAGATAGCCAATTAGTTCCAGTTATCTAAGCCCCGATTTACACAAAAGCAGAAGGGAGCATTTAATGACTTGTATTTAACATACTGCTCATCAGTACCAAATAGGCATACTGAAATTGAAGATATTTTGTTCAACATCCCAATC